AAAAAAAAAGATCAATGGACTTGTTTGCCATTTATTAGATTTGTGGTTGTGATTTTGTGTTTTTTCAGAGAAGCAAACTACAACAGAAGCTTCTGATTAGGAAAATAGGAAGAAAACAACACAACACACGACCCACCACACTACTAGCGAATTGCAAGAAAACGACGTGGGACTAGAAGCAGCGCTGTCTGTCATGAACATGATTTTCAAGATTTTTTATGACGTGCGTTTCAACAAATGATTATGATACGGTGTTGTTCACATTTTTATTTTTATTTTCTCAACCCCTCTTCTTCTAGGAAATTAAATATTGAACGTTCCTGCTTCATAATTTGCACTTTTTGTCTTCCCTCCTCCATCCATTGGCCCACAGTTTTCCACTAAATGAAGGTACTGCTGCTATAATGACATTCAGCCAAGAGCTTGCCCCCTATTTGAAGCCATAAGTTTTCTGCCTAAACAAATGCGTGGAGCGTTGCCTGTCACTAGTATTTTTCATTTTCAGATTGTAAAAGTACGAGAGAGTGTTCACCACATATTGTTAGACAATATGATTCGTATTTCTCTTCTTAATGTTAAAAGAAATTCGTAAATTTAACTCTTTCTTTGTAGGAGTCATTTAATGTGTAATTTTCAAGGCATCATCATAGAGTTGGATGGACCACATGATTTTTGTACACAAACTTTTGTGGCATCTAATCATCGGATAAATATAAAATAAATTGAAGGGTTGAGAAAGTAATGAATTTTCAAATTCACGATGTGTCATCCGACTTTAATCGCCCACGAAAAAGGAAGCTTCCTTTCAAAACCAAAAAAAAAAAATTACAACGGGATCTTTCCTAATTGCTGGCCCGCTCCTTTAGGACCCATCTTAGAATACGCAAGGTATTGGGAGGTCTCCCTGTTTCCCTGATTCTTCACGAAAAACAAAGTACACAAGTTTTAACCAAAGGGTTCTCAATTGCACATGAAGAACATTTCTTTTGACTTCTGGGTTAAAGATTAACAATAGGCTAAGCAAGTCTTGAGCAACAGCAAAAAATAATTTAAAATTGAAACAGGGCAGGCAAGCAAACCCGACACGTTGGGTGATTTGACCAAAAACAACTGATAAATCCTTTCTTCTTAGGCAAATTTAAGAATTAATTAGCATATGATTATGATGAGTAAAAGGCTGGCAAAATGTGTTTTATACAATTCCAAATAATTTAGTCCGCAAAGCAAACCAATTTGCTACCGACAATTTACAATGAAATACAAACACAGGCCAGACCTTGCGACATGTACTGGAATCACGAAGATTCCTATGACCAGATTTTTAAGGAAAAGACGAAACCTTCTCGCTTTATAATTACGAGATTAAATGGTAATTACGTGATTGAGAACATAAACACCAAACTGAGAATGACCCAATTAACAAAAACCACAACAACAAAAAGTCTTAAACTTTGGAGAAGAAGAAAGAAGAAAAAGGAAAGAAATTTGTCTCTGATTGAACTCTAATCACGGGCTTACAATTAATTAAGAGCTCCGCGCCAACAATCATCTATGCGCTGTCACCAACGTCTCAATGAACCTCAACCCGTCGAATCTCGGCTCGAATTTCTCCTTATCCGACGCCGTTTGACAGTTTTGCGCACCGTTCTTCACCGCCGCAGAAGAAACCCCCTAACCAAACACAATTAACATGTAGATTAGATTAAAGATGGGATTTTTACTCACTTTTAGTGAATCGAAGTTCACCGAAGCAGAGAAATGGGCAGATCCAATCACCAATTTCAATCTTCAGAGAGAAAAATTTATGAAAAATTTGCAGCATTCATGTACATACCTGGTTGGACGAAGACGACGTCGTAAGAGCCATGGTGGACGCCGCAACCACCGACGCCACCAGTGTACCCGACGCCTTCATTTTGCGAACTCAACGAGAAGAGAAGACAAGAGACGAGAAGGGAAAGACCGTTGGTTCGGGGTTCCGAATTAACTATTCCAAATCAGATGGGCGAAACCCGACGAGGCTCGCCGGATCTCGACCCGAACTTTGCGATTTCCTTCTTCTCTGAATTTTTCGCTTGCAGCAAGAGACGAGAAGGGAAAGACCGTTGGTTCGGGGTTCCGAATTAACTATTCCAAATTAGATGGGCGAAACCCGACGAGGCTCGCCGGATCTCGACCTGAACTTTGCGATTTCCTTCTTCTCTGAATTTTTCGCTTGCAGAGGCTTTGGCTGGCGCTGTGGTGGGCCGTTATATATATACGCGGGTAGCGGGCCTCCCTCAAACCGCATTTAACGGGGTTTAATTTTAAATTTAATTCCGCCTTCGTGTCGAGATTCTCCCCCATGCTGGCGTGTTTTGACGTGTCGAGTCAAACAGATGGACGGTTACGATTGTGTGGTGGTGATTTTGAAGGGTAGGTGATGAGCCTGGAGGTGCGTCCCGCAGGTTGGGATTGGAGAACTGAGGTGGGTGCACGGTTAGGTTGGGTGGGGGGGAGAGTAGGTTAGAGTGGTTCTTTCTTTGGTGGAATAAGGAAAGATGCAACGCTGGTGGGGCCCGCTAGCGTTGGAATGCGAGTTGTGGAGGGAAGATGGAGGGGGGTTTAATAGGTTACGTTAGGTTCTATTTGTTTAAGCTCGACGCCGTTTTGGTCAGTCTCTCCGCTCACGCATTGTTTTGTGGAGTATTTGACTGACTCTTTTTTCTTTTTCTTTTTTTTATAGTAAATCCAAACACAAAAACAATTCAACCATACTCACAAATCGTTTCTGACAACTTAAAAGCGCTTTTATAGTCTTCAAAGAGGCCTACTCTGTACCTGGATGGGTAACCTTCCCTCCCCAGAACTCTTTTTTATTTTGAAAAAAAAAAAATTTGTGTTTTCAAATAAGTGCACCAATTTGTTTTTAATGTGAACATTGTTAAACGAGTTGTAGTTAGATTATATGCAATAGAGAACAGTAAATTTGTCAATCTAACTGCTACAATCGTGTTTATCTTATGTACGATAGAGAATAGTGAATTTGTCGATCTAATATCTACAATGGTGTTCGCCTTAAGTATGAATTTTTTAAAAATCTTTAAACACACTTTGCTGATGAGAATAATAAGTCGAATGAGAAAAAAAAACAATATTATAGGAAATTGGTCAAGATTCTTCAACCCATTTTTGGTGTATCTTTGTGATAATGTTGTGGTCAAAATGGAATATGTGACCCTTCATCCCTAGATAATCTACCGACAATATGGTTGGAAGGGATATAAAAGATGAAGCACTATATGTGATCCTGGACCCCTCTAAAAAGCAAAGTCCTGCTTGAAAGCAAAGGCAAAGAATTTCCAACACGACTTTTTACTAACTTGCTTAGGAAGGAAAAGCATGCAGTTGTGCTTAAACTAGGAAATCAAAACCCTTTCCAAACCAAACACTTTCTAAATTCACTAGGAATATTAAAATCCTAAACCCTCTGCCTATATATTAAGGCCAAAACAATCCTTGTGCTTATGCATAATCTTTTGTTCCTCAAAACCTAATCCTTAAGGTTGCTGTTTGTTTGGAAACAATGTCTGTTTTCGGTGGGTTTCTTGGAGGCATATGTGCTGATTATTTTGATGATGAATTTGGTTTGCCTCTGCTTAATTACAAGGCAATTAGCACCAAACCAAAGGATGCCGAGAATTCTGAAGCCAAGAGGGGAATTAATGAGACCAAGAATAAGTATAAGAATGTGGGCAGCAGCAGTTCATCGTCTAAACCTAAAGCCTTGGCTGAGGAACCGCAAAGCGATGCACTGTCTTTTGCTCCTTCCTTTGATGGATTGTTCTGCTTTGAAACGCTAGTTTCCAAGTTCACCAAACCTACTTAGTATTTGTTCAGTTGTTACTTACTTTGGCTAGTTGGGAGAGACAGTCAATTCATTCATACTGTTTTATGAGATTGTAAAGAAGTTTCAAACTTTCAATTATGTTAAAATAATGCAAACTAGTTTTTAATCACTGGTGTGTGGTAAAGAAAAATATTTTGTGGTATGGTATAATTGTTTATGTTTACTTAGGTGGAACGGTGAATATGAGATCGATTACTTTTCTTAATCAATTCTTGAATTTTTACGTATTTAATTACAGATACCTTTGTATTTGTGAACCGGAATAATTTCAACACTCATAGAGAAAATTAGGAATCAAAATTATTGCAATGCCCATTACTTACGAGTAAGCATGCATAGCTTATGCCTACAAATACTTTCACAGAATATAGTGGAATTCCAATACTCATTACATACCAAGTGTGTGCATATCTTTATTTTCATAATATTACATACCCATGACATGTAATACAAGGCTATAAAGCAACTACATTATGAAACCCATAATTGTTCTTTGGGTTAGTAATTGATGCGCTTTTGGGCCCAAATGAAGCCTAGAGAGTAGAGAGGAGAGACCATCAATAAAAAGTAGAACACAAGGAAGGGAAAAGAAGATTATGACTCGAAACAAGGACTTGTTTTCAAATATTAAAGTCAGGGAATAACTCAGTAGTTGAACCTTTTAATCTTCACTCATTTAATCTTCACTCATGTAGGCAGATGTTCGAAACTTTCTAACACCCAATGAATATTTGTGCTAAAAAACTCCTTTCCCAATCACTATAAAATAATAATAATAATAATAAAGTCACTCATTCTTCAACCCTTTGAAAAACTTTCTAACACCCAATGAATATTTGTGCGTAAAAACTCCTTTCCCAATCACTATAAAATAATAATAATAATAAAGTCACTCATTCTTCAACCCTTTGAACCAAACCTACCACCAATCTGCCATGCATGAATGAAGCCTTCTAAGGTTTCGTCATTCCCTTATCAAAAACTCCAATACCTCTCTCTCTGAAGTGGTCATCTTCGCTTCCTTCCATCTTTATCCATGAGTTGACCGTTGACTCTTCAATACTAGCTAGTCTTGGCAGAAATAATTATAGGCTGCGGTCTCATCCTCTTCCCAAGCAACAGCCAACAGGTCTGATTTTTATTGTCCCTTCTTTCCAAGACATATTCAATGGTACTGGAAGAAGACCAGACCAAAGTGGGGTAGATAGATAGATATACATGCACATCATATTATATATTAATTCAATCAAGTGCGTGAATTGTGAAACCCAAGGTTGATATTTCACAAACAAACTTAATATACATGTACCAGCTTTTGTGCTAAGTTCATCTGTATTATATTTCAATTGCAGCAATTTCTTTCTTTATTGCCAAACCGAAGGAAAAGAGAAAATTGTCTCGCCCTGGAAATTGGTAAATCTAGTCAAGTTATTCTCTTTATTTTTTTTATGTCGCGGGTTTAAATTTGAGATTACGAATTTGCAAATCGATATTATTTTTCATTGAGTTAAACCATGCGTTGATAGAGATGTGAATATTGTAACACATAAACTTGCTAGATTCCTTAAATCATGGGAAAAGGAGTTTCATAATTTCTTCCAATATATGCTTTATAATGTTTCTTCTTTCCAATAATAAACCGCCCCGTCTAAAAATAGAAAGAAAAAACCTAAGTTATTCTTTTTCTTGGCAAGTAATGTGCACACAATTTCCAAGTCAGAGGTGACTTCATTCCGAAGTAGCCGTCTTTAGAATCCTGAATTCTTCCTTGCCAAGTTGTGCCAGGCTCGTCTCCATACGCGGCGGTACAGAGCATCCAGCCTATTTCCCTTCACACGCTTTCTTAATCACAATCCAACAAGGAAAAGGCAAAAACCTACCTCCTCTCTCTCGAACTTTCCATCTCTCTCCTCCAATCAACCCTATATATACTGCAATTTCTTCTACAAACCACCATCACCAAATCTCAATTTCTCTCTAAAAGTCTAAAACTTTCTGAATTCCGAGAATTGGGTTTTCGACTTTCGGTTCATCCGAGCAGTAAAACACCACACAACTTTTTCAATCAAACATCCCAAATTCACTCCAAAGTCTAAATCTTTTTCAATTTTAAGAATTGGGTTTTCGAGTTTGGGTTCATCTGAGCAGTAAAACACAGAAAACTTCTACAAGCAACCATGAATTCCATGTTCAGTTCGTTTGATGCTTTGTGCGCTGAGTTTCTGGGCCAAAAGGTGAAGGCCTCCTTCCCTACCCAGCAGCAGCAGAAGAGTACTGGGGCTGTGGTGAACAACAAGGCCTCAGTTTCAGATAATTTGAACAACAGGGAGGAGGCCTCCTTGCCTCAGCAAGCTCAGCCTGTGAAGAAGCAGCAGAGCCAGAAGGCACCGCCACGGTTCGCACTAGAGTTGGATGGGCTCAACTGCTTTGAGACCCTCGTCTGTCGTTAACAACTACAACTGCCGCTGGAATTTTTAATCTCAAAAAATTGTTGTAAATGTTGATGTTGGATATACTGCAATACAATTCTTTCAATTAATTTGCGGATTATTATTGATGTGTTCATCCAATATTCCTTTATTTTACTTGTCCAACCAAAAACCATAGAATAGATATCCAATTGGAGTGAACCCCATGATCAAAAAAACTCCCAACATAAAATGGAATAATTCTGAGATCACAATCTGGCATAGCCATCCATTCCTTTTTCCCAAGAAAGAGAAATCTACTCATGGGCAACCGACAACTAAAGGCTTATTTTCTCTGAAGTGGGCCTAATTTTTATTAAATTCTTGATGCCCTTTCCGGCCCAAATGAATTTTAGAGAGAGACCATCATTAACATTTGGAACACAAGAAAAGGAAGTCACCTCTTTGTGGTTGGCGATTGGATGTCACAAGTGTAAATTTTTTAAGAAAAATGAAACAAAATGGTAAGGGAATCTAGTTGTTGTTATCTTTCTTTCAAGAAAAGCATAAGGAACGTTTTTCCCCTTAACCCTTCTCTCCTTCGAGTTGGGTTAATCCCTCTTGGGGGAGATCTAGGTCCCATCATACGCAATAAGTCTAAAACAACAGTTTTCTTTAAGGGAATTTAGTTGTTGTTATCTTTCTTTCAAGAAACTCCTTGATTGTACGAGATTCCAACTGCAAGGTAGAGAGTGAGCCAAGGATGTGGCCCACGAAC